TCTTGAACTTTTTATTCGATGCCTAACTCTCCTAGAGCAATAGAATTCTGGGCATTTCATCCAAGAAGTGCAACCTTTAACCCCATTATCCAGTTCACAGGAAACATCTTCGATATCCCCTTTCACTCTCAGTGGAGTCTCGTGTCCTTGAACTAGTCTCCATTTATTTGTAGTATTGATCAGTCGTACTGGTAACTTCGTTTCTTGTAGCTCGAAAATGTTAAAACGTAAGTGCTTGAGCATCAGAGAAAAAAATTAATTCTTCAGGAAGTGGATAAAGGCGTCAAAAGAAACTGTTCTTGTAGTTTTTTTTTTTTTTTTTTTTTTTTTTTTTTTTGTTTTTTGTTTTGTTTTTTTTTGTTTTTGTTTTGTAGGTTAGAGGTATAAATAAATATATATTACGTTACAAAAAGGTTTGAATAATTACTTTTTTAAATATATAGTGTTTATGAATTTAAAATTTGTTTTATGTGGTTTATAAAGAAAATTGAAGGATAAACCTCTGTATAGCGCATTTTCCACATAACGAACTTTTTTCGGGATTTAGCGACATCGTTATATAGAGGTATACGACTGTATATATATATATATATATATAGGGAGAGAGTGAACTAAAATAGTAGGAGAATTGAAAAAGACGATACAACTAACCGAGAAGATTTAGGGCTAAACCTGACAAGATCGATCCCAAATGTTGAAACTCGTTATTGAAGCACCAGATTCATCCCTCCTATTATAGACATTTGCCTGTTAATCTGTTATTTTACGTATTAATTAAATTTTAATTTAAATAACATGTTATTTTTAAATTTTGAACACTATACTTCACTACAGTTAGAAATTTAAATCTTTTAAAGTAAGTAGCTCTAGACCAGCTGTCAAAAAGACATTTAGGTTGGTAAATTTTCAAAAATTTTATACTAGGTAAGTAGGGGTCTACCCAAAACACTGAAAAACATGGCAAATGATCCATGAGAAGAAAAAAAAAGTTTAGGAACCTATGATCTATAGAGGAATAATATCAACTGAAATATATCTCTTAAACTATAATTAATTATTTAAATTTAAGTATTGACTTAATGTTTGAAAAAACTGTATTAACATCAAGTGTCATCCACTACAAGTTAAAAAAATGTATTTGAACTTGAGTGGGTGAATAAAAAATATTTTATTAACGATTGAAAATTTGAGCAAGATGTATAAATAAATAAATGTAGGGAGAATGTGTGAACCACTAGTAGGAATTGAATAAATTATGCTAATTTCATATCATCTATAGCTAAAAGACCATTCAACTTTGGAATCAATTTAATGAGACAAATATCACACTTTTCTGTAATTTTTTTTTCTTTTTTTTTTTCGAAATTAAGCGCGAGATTACTTTTCTTGAAATTCAAATCACAACCAGCAATTTAATGACAGACAATTTGCATTTAAATTTACTCTTGTTGATCTTCATACAAAAACAACTTTGCTCACAAATACAGTGGCGTAGCGTGGGCTATCGCCGCCTGGGGCCGACCGGAAATTTGTCGCCTCTCTATTTTAATTATTGGTCAAGAAAATTAGTTAAAAGCACGGCTCATATCAGATTCATAAATTTTTGTATTGATTAAAAATGCCCTTTTCATGTTTTTATCATAGAAAAATCTTTTATACAGTTGTCAGTATCAATATGTATGGCATGTTCAATTGTCAGAATAGCTAAATTTGTTAGCTTTAACGTGGACATAGTCGATCTGTGAGATCATTTTTGATTAATTTTAGTTTAGAGAAGCTTCTCTCGCAACTGGCATTACTGATAGCAGATCTTAAAAAATTCTGAACATTATGACAATGTGTGGTAAGCCATCTTCAAGTTTGGACTCAATAGTATATTTTAATAAACCCAGAGAGCCGGACCTAATGAGTTCTTTTTTTCAGCCTGGGTCTGTTGCCGTAACGAAAGCTTGTAGACGTACGCGCTCAAGTTGGAATTCTTCTGAGGAGCTTGATCTAAGTTAAGTTCGTCCATACTCAATATCACTTCAGGGCTTAAAAAAGCATATTTTTGCGCTAGATTCAGCAACCGTTGGAATCTTTCTCGAATTTCAGTAGTTACTCTGTCTGTTGAAAAAAACGTTGTTCAGGCCTCAAGTCATCTCCGTACAATAACTGAACATCTTTACTTCCGTCGCCAAATATATGCTTCGTCCTGATTCGTCTTGGGGGTTCAAAATAAATTTCAAGCTCTTCACATACATTTTTAGCATATATAAAAGCGTCATCCACGAATTTCTCTCATTTTGCTTCTCTAATACAGTCTGTAAAGCACGTATTTTTTGAGCACATTGATGGATATTTGGTCCCTCTGTTTGCAAATAATTTTGAGCATCATTGACTTCCCACACACTGCCAGAAGCTTAAGTAATATAAAACGAATGCCATTGCATAGCGACTAATAAACTTGCTGTATCTGTGCGTGTATTAAAACTTTCACTCGTTTCCGTCTGTTTCGTCGCGTGGGCGCGATTTAGAATTTGAAATATTTTTTGAATTTAAATATCGCGCTGCTTGCCACCGCCCCTTTTCGTATGGCCCCCTCTGAACCCCCTCACTACGCCACTGCACAAATATATGTTGACCAAATATAGACAACATTTTCTGTGAATTTGGTTTTCAAATTGTGTTGGCGGGTTGCAAAAAAACTCTCAAATGAGGTCCGCAGGCTGCCGGTTGCCTACCCCTATAGCTTAATGTAATTCACAAATTTACACACGAAATTCGATTACTCTTAATTTCAAATTCAACATGACATTAAAATAATGACTGAATAGTTCTGATGACAAAGTGTATTGAAAATCAATGAAAATACTAAAATTAGTTCTAAAGCAGTAAAGGTCTAATTTATTGGTAAAAATATCGCCATGAGAACACAGTGCTTTGAGTGATTTCCAGCAACGTTTAATTATTTTCATACATGAGTTAGGAAGCACTCTTGAACGTGAGCGACACATACACATAAATCCTCAACAGAAGTGACAAAAATACATTTCGTATTTCGTGACATGCTCAAAGGTTAATAAAAAGTGAGTTGAAATGACTTTTATATGCAGAAGCAATCTAAGTCAATTTTAATTATGAAATTCCAGAATAAATATCTTACGATATTATTGGTAGGAATATTTTCTCATAACGCTTGAAAACTTAATTCCCAATATGACGGTATTTTGACAATGGTTGTTTTTGAATTGAACCCCACAGAAATAAAAATATCTTCGATTGTTCTTGGTTTCCGAAGGAATGGAAGATGTTACTTTGTGCAAACAGCTTCATTTAAACATTATAATAAATATTAATTGGAGCACGAGAGTTCTGATCGCGAATGCTACCAGAGTCTATCCTTCCAATTCTTCTCACGCGTATATAGCTCTTAGTAAAAATGGTTCTTTGTATAAATGGCCATTTGACATCTTAATTATCTTGTTTCCCTTATAACTTAGCTCTTCTCTTTGAAAGTTTGCCGGCCGCGGTAGCCGAGTGGTATAGATATCGGACCGTGGATTGCCTTGTCTCTCTCACGAGTTTGAGCTCAGTACCACTAAAGACCCGCCGTGTAGGGCAGCGATGCCCGTTAAATCTGTCGAGAGCTGAAGCGTCCTCCCGTTGGTGTGGTAGTTAGGAGAGGGGGTGCCAGCTCAGGTGTCGTCCACGTCACTTGACCATGGTTCAAAATTACGTGGTCCGTCGCCGAAAGCCCTCGAGTAGCTGAAAAGTGCGACGTTAATATTCAATCAATCAATTGAAAGTTTGCTGATCCCTAGTTTAGTGCATTGTTTAAAAAGCAAACAGAAACTAAAGCAAAACTAAAAGAAACTAAAGCAAACGAATAGTTTGGAGTAAATGTTCCAGCTTTATGACATTAATAAATATTTTGCATTGCTTTTATTAATGTCATACTGGAACAGTATGAAGGATGTATTGAGGATAAATCTCGTAATTTTAAACACTGTAAGCAGACGGCAACGTGCCTCATTCAGTCCTTTTTACTCCTTTCGACACAAATCTTTAGTGGAAACAGAATTCGAGCCCTCGACTTTCTTGAATATTGCGGGTGGTGAAGCTAACGACCTTGACCACTTTCTTAATGTGAAAAATTTGTAAATTATTATTTATTTGAACAATCGAGTTATTACTTATGATTACGATAGTATCAAGCTGACGTCAATCATTTATTCACATTACTGCATATACATCTCTATTTAGAATGAAAATTCATTTTATAAAAGGGACCTTATATATAATTTTGCTCCATTAGAATAATTTAAAAGAAGACTTTTTACACAACATCTTTATAAATAATTATTTTGACATCTTTTTTAAAGCTTTACACTGTAAAATCCGGCGAATAACGCCCAATTTTAACACAAAAAAAGGAGGTTGAAATTTACGGGTGTGCGTTATACGCCGAGTACAAAAATGCTAGCTTCAAAAATTAAAAAAAATTAGACTTTTTCATAGATCGGAAACTATTTACTAACATGCAATATAAAAAAAAAAATTAAGTCAATTCCTACTTAGGTCAACAAAGAAAATTTTTATTTTAGTTACTTTTTATTAAATAGTTACAGTTAATATAAATATGTATATACATATGACAGAATCACAATATTAAGTAACAAAATAGAAAGTGATTTTCCCTGCAATTTTCCATTTTCCTTTCTAGATAGCGTGTTGGACTATTTTTTGTTTTTGTTTGTTACTATTTATATGTATTCATTAATTAAATTTAATTATTCAAATCGTAATCTCGTAATCATACGTATTCTAATTCTAATCGTACTGTTACCTGCATGGTACTCAAAGCTAAGGCTAACGACAGGCATAAAAATTTAGCCCTTAGAAGAGATGAATGTCATGGACCTTGATCTGATGTTACTGTCAATCAGGTGGCATAAACAACAACAATTATTCTAATAAAATAGTACAGTAAAAAGAAATCACATTCTCAGAAATTAGGCCATCCCAGGTGGAATTTGAAACCACACCCTTTGATTAGAAGTCCAACACACTATCCATTGCGCTACAGAGACACAATGAACGATTTTCCTTTCTATATATGCTGTTAGACTATTATTTTTGTTTGTTACTATTTTTTCATTTTTTAAATTTAATTTATGAATTAATATTTGAAAAAACAGTATTAACATCAAGTGTCATCCACTACGAGTTTAAAAAAATGTATTTGAACTTGAATGGATGAATAGAAAGTACTTTATTAACGATTGAAAATTTTAACAAGATATATATATATATAGGGAGAGAGTAAACTAATAGTAGAGGAATTGAAAAAGAAATGAGACATACCTTATGAACATAAAAAGAGAGAGAGAGCTGTAATTCGAAAAATATACTATTTTTTCAAAAGCCTGAGATAATACTTCTAATAAACGACTTCAAAACATAACTGCATTGCATACGTATATTTCAGATTTGCTTCTTTAAAAAAGGGAGGTGTGCTTTATACAACGAATATAAATAAAAACTAAAAAATGTAACTTGAAAGTAAACAGCTGTTTGTAAAAAATGCAACACCATGTAGGAAACATCAGAATTAAATTAAACTTAATGCACACAAGAGCGACTTGTATTAGTACAAATAAATGACGAAATTTTCAAAGCAAAAAAACAATATTAAGTATCCAAAATCAGTACTTGGTGTAGCCACCATGCCTGCAATAAGAACTGCTATACGACGTGGCAGGGAGTCAAAAAGATTTTGAATGTCTGTTTCTGGAAGAGAATACCATATTGCTTGTATGCGCAGCAAAAGTTCGTCTTTTGAAGCTGCAGGTCGTGGATCACGAGCGAGAAGCCGACCAACTAAATCCCACACGTGCTCAATAGGCGACATATCCGGCGAATAAGCAGGCCAAGGAAGAAGTTGCATGCGTTGGTCTGAACAGAAGTCTCGAACAGTCTTTGCAACATGTGAGCGTTCATTATCCTGCTGAAAGATAGCTCCAGGGATGCCTTGAAGGAAGGGGACGACTTCAGGCTGTAGCACTTCACGGACGTACCTGTTGATATTCACCCTCAATTCGTAGCAAATTGGATCGTCCATGATATGAAATCACACCAAAAACCATAACTCAGAGTGTCAAACCACTATGTCGTTCGATAACGCACTCTGGAAGGCAGCGTTCATCGTCATACACGAATGCGGCCATCATGGTCCCACAAATTGAAGCGTGTTTCATCTGAAAAGACAACTTGGTGGCAATCAGCTTACCAGGCTCTGTGTTCATGAGCCCATTGCATACGCAGCCGTCGATGGTTTGCCTTGAGGGGGATCCTGTATAAAGGCACCCTTGCACGCAATCCACGGTGCAGCAGACGTCGGCGAATTGACGAAGTCGCGACTTTAGTACACCTGTAGCAGTAGACCAACGTGCTGCCAACTGCCTGGACTAAGCTGTACGGTCATTCACCACCATGCGGAGCAGTTGTCGATCGTCGCGCGCTGATGTCACCTTCTGTCGTTCATTGCCAGTTTTTCGAGTTGTTCGGTGCTCGTCGGTCCACTGCTTCTAAACTCGCATCACTGCGGAACTGTTCCACTGCACATGGGCTCCTATTGCGCGATAGAAAAATCCTCCTTCTCGATGGCCGATAATGCTCCCCCGTTGAAACTCCATAAGTTGTTGGAGTATCTCCTTATTTCGTCGCGGAGGCATACTTAGGTCTCACTAAACGCGTTCGCCACTAAAAAATAATCATTATTTCCAACGTCCCGCTACAGCCCTCTATTTATACGCTTTCAGCATCAGTTCAGAGGGCGCTTTGCACGCCACGCATGCGCGGTAGCTCGAAACTTTACTATTTTACGTAACATCCTATAATTGATATTTGCTGCAAAGTTCATTTAATTCTGATGATTCCTTCATGATGCATTTTTTACAAACAGCAGTGTATAAGCGCGCGTTATACGCCAGTGCACGCTATACGCCGGATGTTACGGTAAAAAGAATAAATGTCTATAAGTTCAAGTTATAAAATATTTTAAAGTATTTTTTCTTGAATTATTGTTTCTATAAGTTAATATAATTTCTTTTTTTAGGTAGATAATGGCTGAATCCAGTATGTTGTATGTTGCTGTGTCTTACCAGGAGGACATGGAAATAATAGTCTGTAGAAAAGCGGAATTTTTGAGCCTTATATCGGCAAAGTACAATATTAGCATGGAGAATATTGTTTTGTACGATTATGAATCGGAGAGTCCACATCCAGTATTATCTGTCGACGCCATAAGAGATGGCACGATAGTGGGCGTTGTTGATAAATCGAAATGTCCAATAGTAATTATGTAGTATATATGTAGCATAATGGTATAAACAGTGAATATGTAGCCTGAGTTGGATGACGTGTGATCTTTTGATGGCTTAGAATACCATGCACAAAAAGGAGCTTTCAACTGTAGACAAGAAATGCATACCTTTGCAATTACTATACAGCCTATTCAATACTGTACAATTTTATAAGTAATTTTTTTTTTTATTAAATGCAATTTTTTTCATTCGTTATCTGAGTTTCTTTATTATATTGCACTAAATCAAAAAACTACAGATTCTTAAAAATATTAAACAAGCAATTTTATATCCCCATTTGTGACTTATGACCCATGAAAACTTATCTAAACATGCACAGTCTCAAAAGATGCACAAAACTGTACAGCAAAATACAAAGTTTAGTGTTAGGCAAGTAAGTATTTAAAAATTAATAATAGAAAATAAATAAAATAATTCAGAAATGATGTATAATTTTTTTTTATTGCATGGCAGGCAAACTCTCGTTTTAGGATGCACTAAAATCTTAAGTTATGTAAAATATTCTTTTTTCCCCACTCATTGGAAATAATTAAAAAAAATATTTTTCTAACAAACTATAGCCTCAGGAAGAATACCTCAATTTATGTATGTATATAGGAAAAAGAGACTCACTCACTTATTCATTCACTCATCATGAGATCTCCGGAACTATTACACCCACATACTAGAAATTTGGTAGGAATATTTCTTTTGTTGAGTCGACATATGCTAAGAACGGGTTTTGCGGAATCTCCTTCCCAAGGAGGCGTGCGGGGCCGTAAAAGATAAAGTCCCGTTTTTGATCCCTACGACTTGAAATTTGGCAAACATGTCTCTTTTGCTGAGTAGATCTCCAATAAAAACGAGGAATAGCCTAAATGGGATTGCGGGTTGTTACGGGCGTTACAGATATAAAAATATCCCGTTTTTAAACTATCAGGCCTACGGACTAGTGAATATATCTCTTTTGTAGAGTAGATATCCACTAAAAACGGGAAATAGACTCCCAAAGGGGGTTGGAGAGGCTCTATAGGGGATAAAATGACATTTGTTGCCCTGCAGACTTGAAATTCTGCAAGTATGCTTCTTTTGTTGAGTAGTAATCCGCTAAAAACAGGTTTCGCGAAAATCGACTCCGAGGATGGGAGTTACGGCGGCGTGAAAGATAAAAAAAAATTTTCCGTATTAGAAATTCAAGCCCTGTCGTTTTCAAATCAAGTTTTCAAGGGCTGTAAGAATGTTTTTGAATGTGTGATCGAAAGCTCGATACTAGAGCTCAGATATCAATAACTTATATCATTGCTCTTCGAACTGTGTACCACGGAACCCTGGGGCTCCACGAGGCATACCCAAGACACGCGATTTACAATAAAAAATCTAAATTAAAATTATAAATGTGTATGCAAAATGGATTCACGTTCTCTATGAAGTTTGTATAACCCCAAGTTTCTAAAGCTCATCCGGCTCATTAAAACTGAAAATTTTATTTAGACATAATATAACTTTATTTTGTAATACATTTTAAACTTTTAATGTAATATAATAAAAGAATATTAAAAAATTTTTTTTTCTTTATACGTATCCTTTACTAGATTTTAAAAATTCTATTGTCCGTTATCCCGGGTTCCACGGAATAATTTTGCACTCGTTAGTGCAGTATTTTGTACAGCTAAATAGATTTCTGATGGAAAAGGCACCTTTTTACATTTGTGGAAGAAACACCTATAATGAAGGAGAGGAAACAACTTATCGACATATCAACAGATTCGATGTTAAAATCTAAATTTAAGCAGGAATTACCCCTAAATTTTAGGTTGCAGATTCATACAAAATATAAAGGATTTTTCACACAGATATAAACTTTTTAATAACATTAAGAGAGAGAGAGAGAGAGAACAATAAATTTAAAAAAAAGACATTTCTCAATGGGAGCGGATACAAAAACAAATTAAACGCAGAATAAAATGCAACTTTAGATAATTTCAATAGGCCTAAACTTCGACAGGTTGGTAATAAATATGCAAGCACATATCCCAGTTACTAATTGTACTGCATGGACAGGTGAGATTTTCGGAGATCACAAATTAATATCATATTGAGTGAATAAATTACGTTAATATTATGTTAAAAATTTTTAATAAAAATACAGTATTTTTAAAAATGTTTTTCCATAAAGTACTTATAACATGTTGATCTACTTTAAATATTTAAATAATATATTTCAACTAGATTCCCTCTCCCTTAGAAGAATATTTCTGTAAATAATATTCCTCTAAGGAGGAGGAGAATGGAGAAATAGTGGAAACACCTTATAGTTCTAAGGGTTACGTGAAACGAAAAAGTTTGAAGATTACTGACTTTTTTTTTTTGTATAAAACAATTAACTTTAACTAACTTAGAAGGTCAAACAGATTATCAGCAAAAACAGATTACAGCTATAATGATTACAGCTATATAGATTATAGCTATAATGTGCAGTATTTCAAAAATAATCACAGTGATGAATTTTTTATGTCCCTAAATTTTTTCGATTCTGGGTCTGGGATTTGTTTTTTCTCTGAAAGAGTAGTATGTTAGATTTAAAAAGAAAACTTGGTAAAAAATCTCTCATCATGGGATTATAGCAAATCAAATAAAAAAATTTTTTATTTGGTTTCTAGGATCAAAGATAGCTAGTTAGGTATTGAAGAAGTTTTTATTTTTGAGAGAGAGATGACTTAATACCG